TCGCCAGGCAGATTAAACCCCTCTGCAGCCCGGCCCTGCTGCCTCTCATCTCTCTTTCCCATCATCCCCCACACCCTTCCTGCTTGGCTCCAACTTCTCAGACTCACAAATGCATCAGGCTCTCCTGCTCTTTGGTCTTTGCTCCCCTTGCCTGGAGCCCTCTTCCTTCAGGGCTCAACCGTAATGTCCCTCTGCTCTGGGAAGCCTTCCTTGACCTTGTCCGTCGTCTATCAGGCTTGGTTAGGAACTGTGCCCCTGTGGTCCCACAGCATCTGGCTTTCCCTCTTACTGTGCTGGGCTGAAATGGTGAAATGATCTGTTTAAGCCCCGTCTCCATAGTAGAGGCTAAGCCCTGCGGTCCATGAGCAAACACTGCCTGATGTCCACCATTTCGTCTCCAGGCCTGAGCCCCACGCTCACTTTACTGAATTCAGGGAACAGGTCGGATTCATATCTGGCTCCCTGGATTTATCACAACGCTTAGGATCAGCAGGTAGGCGTACATAGTAGTGAACAAATACGATTTTCTACTGGCTGAAATTCAGTTCTGAGATTAACACGCTTGAACTTGCTACTTATACCCATGTTTGGTGCCCGAATGTCGGTATGCCCTGCGCAGATGGCAAATAGACATTTATTTCTGACATACATAGAATAAGATAGACCAAGAATCGGATTGTGATACAGAACCAGGGACAGGCGTCTTCAAGTTGGCTGCATTTACCCTTTGCTTTAGATTCCAAAGATCCTCCTCATTACTTCTAGCTAGTCATTTCATCCTGCTGGGACTCAGTTTCTTCATATGTAAAATGAGTCTTTCCCAGCTTCAAAAGCCTGCAAGAGGAAGTGGCCTGCTATTCTTATGCATTGAGTTCGAAAGGTATTTTGAATAAGAAGGCTCCTGGAAAAAAATAACATACTCTACCAAGGCGTCTTGCAACTCTCACTGCAGTGTGTTCATACATAAAAGTTTAAAGATGGCGAGTGGGTTAAGGTAATTTAGCAATAAGTTGTTCTAAAAACATTTTGTGGAGAATATATATATATAAACAATTATAGACAAAATTATAAAGTGCCTGGTATTTTAAAACACTATACAGAGAATACAGCAATCATGGCGGAGTCAGGAAGTCTAGTGGTGACCAACCTATGATTTGCAGTATTTGTAAAAAAAAATCTTAAAAAACTGACTAAAACTGCACTGTTTTATTTTTTAAACTGCTAAACAATATTACAAGATGATTCCACAATGCTTCCTCTTCATATATACTCAAAACTTTTAAGTCGCTGACCTAGTGTAGCTCTTCCACAAAATACGATTCGTGTTGGCGATGTCATAGAGTCGGGTATACTGGGATCAATATTATTACATATAAACCCTGAGTACCTTAATTTTTGTCTTAATTTAATTTACCTTAATTTACTTAGCACTGAGTACCTTAATTTAATGTCTTTTATAATCACTTTGATCAAATCTACGATTTATACAAATGTAAAGAAACTCTAATAGCCCTTAGGTCTCTTCCTTTTCCGAGTTCCCAAGTTCAAGGGGCCTTGGTGATATTAGAACTTCCTATTTTAGTTTCCTAAAATTAGACGCCTATTTAGAAAAGGCCCTTAACAATCTTACCACCTTAAGCACTTAAAAAAAAAAGAGAGCAGAAATACTTGTATTTTCTTAGCTTACTCAAAATTGTTCCTTAGTAAAGCCATCAGCTCTCTCTCTACGTTACAAATCTTTTCTTGATGTAAAGGTTTATCTATATGTGCTCTTGCAGTTTTCATTTTGGAGCTTTAAGAACTTTAAGTTCTTTTGTTATTTAAAGCCCAAAATAAACAAAAATCGTAAGAAGTATGATAGTCTTATAGATTATGCATTTAAGACACCAGAAAAGTATAAAACCTCTTATTCCTTATCAAACATGAAGGGAGGGAAATAAAATATTTTGTTTTACACACACACACACACACACACACACACACGCAAACAGATGGAGGCTTAAAAGCTGAAACATACTTCCAAGCCCTAGTTTTAGGAGGAAGAGTATCCATTTGTTTTTTTCCCTCAAACCCATGTATTTAAATGCAAGTATGACTCTTTTAAACAGCATGCCTCATTTCTGGTGAGTTCCTAAAACATGGGAAGCTCTTAAATAGACTTTTGGCCAGTGACGTACCCCTTCGGTGCCCCAGAAATTCTAGCCGGACCAGATTCCACTCCACTTTCAACAAACCACACACGAGCTCATTTCCGTCTCTTTGCTGATATCCTCCTCCGTATCACGTGTATGCTCCTTCAAAATTCATCTGTCATTTCCCCTGTGAGGCCTGCTCGGCAGTTCCAGCTGGCCTAGGCTTTCTCCTGAGTTCTGAAGGTTCTGGATTTCTAGTAATGCACAGTCATGTTGGTCTCTCAGTTTCTTTTTACTTTCTCCCCTGTCCCCACCCCCTAATCTATGCCCTATGAGGACCAGGCTAAGAGAAGAGGGGGACTGTATTGCCTATTGCTTTCTTTGCTCTTCAGTTCCCAGCACCTAGAGGTGCCAGAACATGGGGTGCTTCTATAGCTGGGTAATGATGAGTGACCTCCTGGTATTTAAAGCTTGCACGTGCACATGCTATCTTTTATCCAGGTCCTTTTTAAGGGCAAGGCCTATTTTATTGTCTTAGGTCATTTTTATCACTGTGGTCATAAACATAACGGGCTAAAGATAGAAACTATATTTAGAAGCACTGAAAGATTGGGGTCCTCTGAGCCTAGTGCCTCACTTGAAAAAGTTAAAGATTTATAATATTGACTTTTGTTAGCAGGATCACTGTAAACCAGTAAATGATATCCAATGCTTCTAAAAACGAAATGGAGCTCAGTCTTTGATGAGAATTCTAAAGTCAATATATATAATGGTGAAAAATCAGAGTAAAAATGGTCCTCGGAAAATCTTTTCCGTGGGTCTCCCCCCAAATATAGCATGCATGGTTTTGTACATGTCTCCTTATGTCGAGGTAAATATAATAAAACAGTATAATTTCCACTAGGGTTGGGAACAGAGCTGTTTCTTCCAGTAAGCATCGTATAAAGTAGCTGCATTCTTAGGGGTCGTGTAGTAGGAAAAGACACTTTTTGGTTTTTATTCCTTTCTTTTTCTTACAAACACAAGTCTTATAGTCGAATTAAATGAGCATGAAATGCAACACTACTGAAAACCAACTGTTAAGATAATGAATTAATTCTACAAATAAAAACTCCAGGCAAGGGGACAGTGACAAAAGCATGAGTCTATCAGTTCGGAAGCTATTACAATATATCCTTGAATGCCAAGTCTCTACTAACACTTAGAAAACTCCCCCCTACATTTCTCCAAGTAACCCGTCAGCTCTGCAGCATCTTCTCTACAGTATATCTCTACCTTTATGTAAAAATTGTTTACCTCCCCCCCACCAAAAAAAAAAGCAGCAATTTTTTTTCAAAAGTACTTCTCTAAAAAGAGGAACAAAATCTAGGTTGTGGAGAACTGTTTTTGATATCTGGCTACAAGTTATTCGAGATAGTCTGCATATTTTAAAATCAGAAACAAATCCAGTTATAGCAAAGCCACCGCAAAAATGTCGATGTCCGCCTTGTCTCCCCTCTTCCACACGTACAAAATCAAGTCCAGTCATAAAAAAGAAAGACTCTATGTAATTATCATATGACCCACAATTGCACTCCTGGGCATTTTTCCCAGGAAAAATGAAAACTTATGTTCACACAAAAACCTGTACACGAATGTTTATAGCAGTTTTATTCGTAACAGTCAGGAACTGGAACCAAGCCTGAAGTCCTGACCGGTGAATGGTTAAACAATCTGCGGGACCACCAGACCCTGGAATACTACCCGACGATAAAAAAGAACAAAGTCCTGAGAAGTGCAACTTGAATCTCCAGAAAAAATATGCTGAGTGAGAAAGGCCAATCCCCCACGGTAGCACGCACTAGAGTCCCACTTATAGCACACTCTGGCAAAGACCAAATGATAGAGATGGGGAACAGGCGAGCGGTTGCCAGGGTTAAGGAGAGGGGCAGGGGAGAAGTGCGTATGGATACGAAAGGATAACAGGAGGAGTCCCTGCGGGGATGGGAACATTCTGTACCGTGACTGTATCAACGTAAACGCCCAGGCCGCAATACTATTATACTACATATTACAAGTATCACTATTGGGCAAAACTGGGTAAAAAGTACAAGGGATCCCTCCATTAGTTAGCACAACTGCCTGTGAAATCTGTACTTATCTTGAAATATAAAGTTTAGTTAAAAATTTAAAAAGAAATATTCTAGCCTAATAAATTTACTTGACCATACTGAAACCCGAGCTGAAGAATACATCACAGCATCTTTGATGCTTTCTAAAAACTACAGAAGTGGATAGAGTACAAATGGGGTCAAGCGCAAAATAGTGACCCACAGCCGCTTCTACAGGTGGCACCAGCATCTGTGCATCTCCCATTTCCTCACCAAGGACTGTCTCTGATCAGACGGACGCCGTCGCGGTGTTCACGCGGCAGAGGCCAGAGGATTGAATCATTCTGTTGTCCTACAGCTGCCACAGGCCACAGCAAGGCATTTCCCAATGGCAAGGCAACCCATGATTAGTCTACACAAATGTAAGAATGCTGTGAGAGAACTGGATGTCGCCTTATTTACATAAATCAAATATTCAAACATGTAACAAATGATCTGCCTGTTAAGGCAACATTTTCTTGTATCTGAGTTGAGAGAATAGATTTTGTGAGGAGAACTGTTCCATTCCAGGGGGACTAATATAGAGAAAGAAAATATATGTATGGATTCCTTTCAAGTCTTTTTCTTCTCCTGTAAATGTAATAGTTGTACCGGCGACGTTGGACCATTAGAAGAATCGCTATGATGGAGACAGGGATTTTTTTTTTTTTTTTTGGAGCCCTCTTTTTCAAGTACAAACATTCATTCAATCCAATAAAGACATTTTAGAAGAAAAGTCAACATATAGAATTGATTTTATTTTTTTCTATACTTTGATTCAAACAGAAAATGTTTGGTGATACTCGACAATACTAATCATTTCAAATAAAACGGATGGTGAAGAAGAGTATGACTTTCTTCCGCATAACAACTGAGGATCTGAATTGGAAAAATATTTTTGTCTATAAATAGGAATATCCAAAACAATTTAAACCTCTTGAGCACTTGACTGTTCCAGGTCCTCTGCATCTAGATTGAACAGACCACAGGAAGTTTCAAAGCCCGATAGCTGAATCTAAAAGGAAAAAAAAAAAGAGATTCATTTAGTTGTCATGATCACTGTCACCATCAATCCCTAATATCTCAGACTTACCGGACCGCACTCAACTTCACCATGCTGCTTTCTGCTTGGGAGAAGACAAATCACTAATCAATTAGGTACACTAATTAAAAACGCTACCTTTAGGAGGTGTTTTCATACCTTAGTAATAGGGGTGAGTATTTCCTCTCACTGCTGACTTTGAAACCTTTTCGCTATCACATTAGGCAGGATGCACTGAACATTTGCAAACACTTAATGCTACAGTCTACATACACTATCGAATTGCCCTCCAAAAGTGGTGGTACGATTCTGCAACTGGTTGAGGTCACATGGAAAATAGAATTATATGCTAATTTGTTCCTATATTAAGTTATCATAGAAGGTCAGACCAAACACAGCAAAATGAATTCTGGAAAAAAAATTAACTAAGTAGACTGGTATGTACCATATCAAAGTAAACTGTTTATCTTAATAGATACGAATACAAGAAAGATTTTTTTAAATGAGGGCATTTTCTCCTTTTCAAAAAATAAATGTCTTAACTAACCCCTGGCAATGACTTGCGTGATTTGAAAACACTCTATATAAATAATTTTTCCCTAAAGAAGAACAAGGGCAGAGTACTTTTTCTCAAGGGGGAAAAAATGGAGAAGGGCATCGTATCCAAAAGAGAGTAATTCCCCCAGAAGAAGCTTTCCTTTATTGACATATTTATTAAAACTTACCTCACATAAGTAGTTGTACATAAGCACTGTAAAATGAACACACAGGTTTAAACTACATGATGGGGTGGAGAGGTGCTGACTATAATACATGTATTATTTAGCTCCAAAATAAACTAAACAACAATATAGATGCTTTCATTAGCCTAGATTTGTCTGAAAAAAAAAAATGTTTTATTTTTAAAAAAACTATTGTGAAAAAAACCCTACATTCATTTCTTTTTCTGGAAGTTATATCTATAGATATCGCCTTATCCATGGATAAGCTGTACAGATGCTACATCAACTTAAAAAAAAAACAACTATAAAGCAAATTGATTGAAGAATTTGTGGGCTACCAGTTTTGTATATGATGATGGTGTTCTCCTCACAGTTCTGTTTTCAAAGGTCCACTTATAGGAAAAGGGAAAGAATCTGGGTGAAGGGGTGAAGGAGAAATGAAATCTTACAGCATTTGAAACCATGGGACCAGTATTTTATAAAGCATCCAATCTGCTGCAGAACACAACTAAGATGAGTGACAGAGATCATCTGTGTCACACCCTTAGGCAAAACCCTGGGGAAGAAAAAAACGGTAATTTTTTTGTGCTAGAGTCTACCCTTTTTTCCACTAAAAGACAGGTTTATATTTTTCATTTTATTGCAACATTTCCAATGCCATCCTATAAGAGAACGAGTGCTCACAAAAAGCCATCTGAATTTTCTTTCACTCGGAACTCATTTTTAATTTTTAGAGGAACTTTACCTACTACTTTTTTAATAAGATGCCATTACTATTAGTTATCATAAGATATGCTGGATTCCCATGAAGTATCAGTTTGACATCTTGCTCAAATACTTACTTTTCTGCTATTTATTACCAGCAATGTTTACCCTATTTTCTCCTAACCAAGTTAGATATGAAGATACTTCTTCAGGCACAAAGTCTTCAGGCTCCTTGATGGATTATAAGATACAGCTATATACTTCTCCACTACTACTGCAGCACTTCTTGTTTGAAGGACCTTACGTGTCGGGATCTTAATCTATAAAAAGTTGAGAATTACATTCAAAAAAGGGAAGGGAAGTTGGACAAAAATGAAAACATGCACTGATGCCTAAGTAAATTAATCTTCATTCCCACTGAAAGCAATCTGATGTCCAGGGACTGGGAATTATTCTACCATAAAATACGGCACATTAAATACTACAATAACCCATTTGAGATGTCCTAAGATAATGATTATGTCATCTACAAATGATCGTACATATAGTTATATTTTAATATTCATTACTGGAGGTTCTAATGCAAAATATGTTGAAACGGTGAAAATAGTTGGTTAAAGATAAGATCAAGCAAATCAAATTCTGTAAACTGAAAGTAAGACTCAAAATAAGATCTGAAAAAAAGAATGGATAAAAGTAAAGGCAAAATATTTGGACCCTGGTTGTAATCACAAACAAACACTATCGTTCCTGATGGTTTGCATATAAAACTCCTTATCTCCACTAGCTAGCTGAAAAGGATGAAAAGCTTCTTACAACCAGCTAAAAAGAAAGTCTTTACCAGCCTCCTCGAAAAAGCTCATTTTCACATTACTCAGGCTTCATTATGCTAAATCAATATTCGTTTAGTCACTGGGGTTATTGACATATTTTAAAATAAAAGTATACCCTTCAGCTACTGCACTCATTACAGGTAATTTGTCTTGTCAGAGAGCAGGGAATATTATCCTAGTCTTTCAGGGACTGACAGCCCATGGAAATACCTCCCCATGGTTACAACTGTAAATAATTTTAAGGTAAAATATTGAAAAATCAATGACTGTTTCCTGCAATCTGTCACAAACAAATCAATCATAATCTGTACTGCCAGAGAGTATGATCTGAAGGAGATGGGAGCAGATGTAATTCTTGGCTGAAATCTCTCATTTCAAAATCACTTCACATAATGGTGTCATCATTTAAACACTCAACAGTCAGTACGACTGCCACTGTAACATCTAGTTGGACAAAACCACAAGGAGGAGGAGGAGAAAACGCCATCGCCATTATGTTAACAAACATTTAATTTTAATGGCTGCAGCATTAGTAAATTTCAGCTGAAAACAGGTTCACCTGTCCCCTCTCACAGTCCTACATTAATCAAGGCTGCCGGCTGCCCTTCTACGTACGAATGCTTAATAAATTAGCCTCTGACTCAAAATTTGACTCTCCCACATACACCTTTTATTTTCAAGGTCTGTTACAGAGAATGAAATTTGGAATTAATAAATAAGACATCTGGATTGTAGAATATCCATAATTCTGCCCACATAACAAAGACAAAAAATAGTGTCATAGATGTCAAGATTATACTTTTAAAGTAGGTTTAAAGGTCTCAGTTGCCCAGATATTAAATTTTATATTTTCCTTCTATTAATACATATTACATTTCAACTTTGTAATATTGTAGCCTATTTTAAGATGCCCAGCAAGACCCAGTCAATTCAAAAATACCGTCGCATCCTACACCCAAGCTATAGACTGATATTTTAAAAACTGAAGTAATAACCCAAGTACCTGAAGTGTAAAAGTTGGTCAAGGTCCTAATATTGAATTGTTTTGTGAATGTAAACTGCTTTCCAAGTAATCACTTTGATACCACCATTTTTTCTAGGCTACATTTTAATGGCTTCCTCTGCTTCCAACCTCTACCTCGGCATCAATACAAGAATCTGAGATTGGTACCTCTTGTTCTGTTAACCAAAAACATCATTTGATTTAAAGATCAAAGAGTCTTTTTTCTGCAGGTTTTTGTTTTTAAATGTACACTAGCCCTTTTAATGAAAGAACCTGCTTTTAGCTACCACACTGCTTACCAATCTCCGAATTATATCACTGGGCACCATGAAACCCTTTATTATCCTACTAATAGCCCTCTATAGGTATAGTTCAAGAAGTAGATGGTTTTGGTGACTAGAAAAGTGTATCATTTTTCTTAAAAAGGAAAAAAGAATAGATATAAATACCATTCCACGACTTAAGCCTCTATAAACATTCTTAGACCCAGGCATAAAAGGGTTTTAGTCTGTTTTTAATTTCACCTGCATATTCAATGTGGCAACACACAGCATGAGGAGACAGAAGCTTTTCTTGTGGATACCAACTGAGCATGAACTGTGTCTTTCAAGAATCTTTGAGTCATTCTTTAACACCACCATTAGATTTTTGAAAACGAAAAAACACCCGGGTAAATGATCAAAGATATCATCCAGAGGAAAACAGAGTCCTCCAGTCCATGTGAAACGCTGCAACAGCTGCAGAGGAAGCAGCAAGCCAAGCTAGTGAGAGGAAAAGCGAAGTATTACCCGTAGCCTAGGACTGCAAGGAAAATGGAAAGGGACCTCAAGGGGTGAACAAGGAAAGGGATCCGTGTGTGTGTGTGTGTGTGTGTGTGTGTGTGTGTGTGTGTGTGTGCGCGAGCCCCTGCGCCAGAGCAGCCCAGCCTGGGCCCAGCTCCCTCCCTGGCAGAGCTCTGGAGCCAGCTGTCAAACACCACGTCTCCCACTCAGAGTGGGCCCGAGACTGGCACTGTGGACGGCCCCGCAGAGAGTGCATTCCCAGAGAAGGCAACAAAGACTAGGAGGTAAGTGAGGACAGCCAAGCAACACGCCGAACGCACGCACATCAGCCACAAACTGAGATGGCGTCTACTAGAACTGGGGAGGCCACCATCACAGACCTAACTCTCAGAAAGAAGCTATTTTAAGGGTGCTGAGTACGCCTAGATGAGATTTCTCAGCTCTCCCAGCACAGCCCACAGCCCCTGGAGAAACAGCTCAAAACTCAGCACGGGGAAGTCAGATCGTTTCATACCCCACATTTAAAGAAACTGCTGCCTGGTAGATAAAGTTCTTATATGTAATAAAGGCTCAGGATTACAGAGGCAAGTATTCTTTTTAAAAGAGATAATGTTACCTCCCTATCTTCCGAATCTCCTCCTTCCGATAGCCAGTACAGTAGCTCCATTATGAACTGTAGATTCTTAAAAAGAAAAACAGCAATAGTTAGCCTCATCTTTCCTTCCACTTCCTTCCTTCATGGGATTACAGTTTAATTGCCAATACTTCGATTGATTTTATTCCTGAACGACACATTTCTCAAAAGGCATACTCTAGCTATTTCCACTAGAGAACGTTTAGTACAACCTTCTCAATTAATCAACCATAACCCATTACCGTTGAAAGGACATGTTTCCTTCATATTTTTTTTAAAAACCAGGGGACCCTCCCACCTGTTTCATATAAAAGGAGTACTAGTTTTAATACATTTGAGTATCATTAATATACATGAAATATGAATCTTAGTAATAAATTTTGGCTGACAACAGATATAAGACAAAACCAACTTGCATATATGTTTAGATTTTTCCTGTATTTTTCCTTAGAGGGGGAAAAAGAGCCCCACCCAGCCCTCTGTCTTTTATATTCAGCAACTTTACATGTGGTTAAAAACAACAACAACACCAACAAAGATGAAGCTTAAAGGCAAACGGGGAGGAATCAGACTGCTCACTGCTTCACATTTTCCTTAGATTCCTGTTGTGTATTTTTGAACTGGCTGTAAGGCATCAGCCCCTGGTCACACATGAAACCCCGTCTCCGTAAGACCCGATCACTGACAGGGGAACTCAAGTGTGTTATTTAAAAACAATTATATCTCACTCACCTTTATGTTAAAAAATCACTCTCTGCCCTTTGCAAGTTTACAGAGCAGCAGTTGCTCTGCTGCCCGCTGTACTAACTAGAGTTGCCTTCTGTTTCAATTAAGCCTTTTCTCCTTTGGTCCTACGGCCACCTTTTTTACTTAACAAAATATTCTCTGTTACTAAACCCAGTTCCTTGCTCTCCCCAATAGACAACACGAATATTCTGCAAAATAATTTTTTCTCATCTGCTTATATTCAGCAGCCCCTATTCTGATGAGAAATGACAAGCTTTACATACACCTGTACACCCTCTGAATTAAAAGAGTTTAGAACCCATGCCTGGAGCTGATCCTCCCATTAAATTTACTCTTAAAAGAACTGGGGAATGAAAATAATCAAAAACTGTAATTTGGTATAAACAGATTATTTCCTTTAAATAATGATCCCATTTCTATAAAATATAACCTCAGTCTTGACTTCTGTGGAAAGCACTGAGTTTATAAGTTTCACCATCCAGTGATATCATTAAAAATTAATTATTCAATGTATTTCCACGAATCAGAAATTTTTCTGTTTACTGAACTTTGCTTAATGCATTTAGTAAAATTTTAATAAGCAAAGGCCTCAAGTGACATTCTTTACATTCTGTACTTAGTTCCTATTACTAATATAAATACTTGGGTAAAACCAACACTGACGCTATTTTGGGTTTACTCCACACACAAACACACTGTGTTGCAGACAGACGCTCACTTGCAGATGAGCTTGGGGATATGCAAGGACAAATTTCAGCCAACATTTGGCGGAACCCCATCGTTCAGAAGTGAACTTAGCTGAAAACATCCAAATGTATTATGGAAGCATCATACTTATAACCTGCACACACATAAAAAAATAAAAATGATTCTGTTTAAAGAAACACAGAAGACTAGTTAAATACTTTGGGATGTTAGATATGAATACCTAATCTGATTTCCTCCAAGGTATCACTCCATATTATGCCAAATAAACAAATAAAGGCTGTATCGAGGTGTGGAATATCATTAGCCTGAGAAAAGGCTAGAAAAATGGATTACATAAATGACAACTGCAGGAGAAAATTATATTTCCTTCTCCTGAACAAATGTTAAGTGCATCTTTACTAATAAAAGATTTAAACCGGAACGACATTAGAATATACTGGTTTTCAATTTTCAACCATCTAAGTTAATTTGCCAAGCTAAATTGGTGCTTAGGTATATTCTAGCTATAAAACTACTGCAAATTTATGCAGAAATAAGTTATAAGTACCACACTTCGGAGTAGTGCTGTGACAGCAAACCCCAGTCATTACTGCACAGGAAAAAAAAAAAAAATTCCAGGATTTTACATCTTCTTAGAGTTGCATCATTTGCATCTTTTTAAGAACAATTATTCTCTATAGAACAGCTAACAATATACCAAAAAGATGTTAAAATTAAAGGAGCCAATAAAACGTAGAAATTGAAGAGAAAAACACACAGATGTTGAGCTATTACCACACAGAAAAGGCTGTCCGATCTCAGAGTTAAAACATACCAAAATATGATACTGTTTTCACATTCTATTATAAAGAACACGTTTAATTCACTTAGGATTACATGATTTCACTTACTTGCACGTTATCAACGGAAGAACATTTAAATTTTTCCTAAGATTTCTATAATGTAAAAATATATTAACAATTATGTGGTGTTACTCATTCAGACAGACAATAGGTAATTAGTTCCCATGCTTATTTCATTTCTTTTAAGGCAGCATATAAAATTTGAAAATAACACATGGATAATAGCATAGGGATGCTGATCTGAGCTGCTAGAACAAAAATTTTGATGGGGGACGTTGGGGGCTAAGTAAAGCAATTATCTCAAAATTAATGCTCTTGTTTTAGTTTCAGCAAACAAATCTAAATAAGTCTTTCTTTGATTTTAGTTTACCATGTAATTCTAGCCAGCTAATTACCCTTGGAGTCACGAATGAGCTGTGACTCTACACCTGGCTTCTCCGATCATATGCCTATGGCCTCCTCCACTTTCATTTCCTCTTTCTACAATGAGTTTTAATATTAAAGGAAAACACTCACACATCCTATATACACCACTGATGGACAGCCAGCTTCCAGGAAATCATGAGCTACAAAGAGAGGGGGGAAATCTTAATGCAATACTTATGTTAAAGGGTTTTAGGTGCTGGGTGAGCCAAGGGTAATGTAATCAGCAGCAGCCCGCTTGCTATTGTTTTTGCATTCAGAAATTTGACGTAAAGGACAGTAATATTATTTTAGTGGTCGCCCAGGTTATGATTCAGATCCTTAAACTAATAAGAGGCTAAATGCACTACCTTCACTTGCTCATAATTCGAATTTATAGACAATATTTGGGAAGAAATAAAACAGTTTTCTTCTATTTCTGGAAATAAAAACAAGGCATTCCATAAACAAGCTAAGTACCTGATGATGTGAAAAGAGAAACTACTTTAGATCATTAAAACATTCTAGGAGACGGTTTTCCAAAATATAAAGTGACATAAATTTCTCATATATTTACCTTTTTATTATATTCCTGTTTCTGCACATTAAGCGAGCTTTCCTCTACAGACTTATTCTCAACACTAATAAATGTTTGCTTAATAACAGACTGTCCCATTTGTGCTTTTCTTTCTAAATTCGCAACCACGACTCCACCAAGATAGAGCACAAAGAAAGCTGACAAAGGCATGGCCAAAAAGCCTCAAGTAGTATGACTACATGCCAGAGCATTTAACATTAAACTACCATTTCTCTCTAAAACTTCTGTTGCCAGAGTGCTCACAAAATCTGGAAGCTCGAAGACAGGTTTCAAGTGCAATTAAATTCTCCAAAAGCAAAACTGTACAAAAATATGCCGCCCTTCTTATGTCACCATTTTATAGACAACATTTTCTCAGGATCTTAATTAAGATAACGATGCACACCTGTGTCAACATTCTCTGGCAAGACAGCCTTATCAATCATAATCCTTTAAGTACACTCCAAAACAGCAAAGCGATATGACAGAAGCAATCTGTTGCCTTTCCTAGCGCCCGTGTTGTGTCTCTCCCACAAGAATGATGAGATCTTTAAAATACAGCAGACCTACTTTTATGAGTCTTTTAAAGTTTTAACTGTAAACAGTTATTACACTAAATAAACAGGAATAACCTCTTTTGCACTTGATTTAAACAATGACAACTGTACAGCCAAAACTCGAACAGCAAGCTCTGCAGCCATGTCTTAGTAATACAATTGTGGATCTTATGTTAAAGCTTGAAATTTTAAGAGTTATGCATAACTGGATCCGTGCAGACATGACGAACCAATAAACCTTTAGGAAGTCTTAAAATTACAATCTGTTAAAGTCCTACGTTAAAAGCAATCAGGGCATGCCTATCCCCAGTGTAAGTTAAAATGTTAAGAAAGATACAAATGCAAGCCTAACCCCCGGCCCCCCGCCAAAAATGGAATCATCTTGGTAAAGTGGAAGGAGAGGGAGAGAGCTCCCACCTCTGCTGGGGGAGAAAGCTTCAGTGACCACAGACCAGTGAAACTACAGCTTAACAAGTAAGCAAGTTCCCAAACGGGAAAGCTGATGAATAAAGGAGACGAAAGACAGGGGATAGAGGACCTTAACCGTCACCACTACCAAGATCAAAAAGGTAAAAACCTCGTGTTTACCGGCAAAAACGTAAAAACTTTCACAGGAACACTGAGACACCCCGCCAGATGCTATCTGAATCCCATCTGCCTGCTAATGATCATTTCTTCCATTTCACATATTAACACAAGTCTGAGACGCCGGGCAGCCGTGGCCCGCCGAGCAGCGGAGCCATCAATGTGCAAATAAAGCAGAAAATAGAGACATCCTTAAGAAATGAGTCTTAAATTTGACGTAGAGCGGAGCTGACAACCACAGCAACAGAACCATAACTTCGAAATGCTTCAATATCTTTCAGGATTCTCTCCAGACCTTGACACCAAAAAGAAGACAGTAAAAGGAAAGGAGAGGGCGAGGGGGGTGGGGTGGGGGGTGGTGGATAGCCTAGCGGCCCAGAGTGGCAGGATGATGTAATGAGGATGTCTGTGTGACAGACTCAGATTCTCGGTGGCACAAACCTCCATGGCTCCATGTCAGAAAACAGCATCCTGGACGAGACCCGAGAGGGTGCTGCGGCCGCGCGTGGATGGAGGGGACACGCCCACGCGCGCCCGCCCGGGGACCGTGACATCTGGAGAGGCCCGCCCAACACTCACGCGGCCCACGCCCCCCCGGCGCCCAGCGGCGCGCGGGGCATCGCCGCGTCCATCCGGTCCACGAAGGGACTCGGACGCGGCGCGAGGGGCAGTGAGCCCGATCGCGACCGGGCGGGAACGCGGCGGGACTGGGGACCCGGGACTCACCTCTCCTCCGCCGCGCGAGCGCGCGGACGGCGGACACTGCCTCGTGGCTGGCGCAAGCCCCCGGCGGGCGGCGCGCGCGGGCCGCTACCGACCGTTAGCGCGAGGGGCTGCCGCGGCGGCGGCGGCGGCGGCGGCGGCGGCGGCGGCGGCGGCGGGCGGAGCCGGGGGCGGGCGCTGAGGAGCACAAGGGCCGCGAGAGGCGGGAGCGAAGGGAACGGGGCGGGGTAGCTCCCCGCGACCACCCGGCCTACACCGAACCCGGGAGGACACCTCCCCTTGGCTGCCCGAGAAGCCACCACTGGCCAGCCCGGCGCTCCCTCCCGCTCCGGCCGTACCGGCCGCTCGGCCTCGCCTCAATCTCGGCAGGCTGGCAGCCAGCCACCTGGGCCGGGCTGTGCCCGCGTCCGCGGCCGCCGGCTTCTCGTCTCCATGACAATAGCGCGCCAACGCCCCTCCCAGCCCCACCCCCTCGGCGCCGTGACTCGGAGGGACGCGGGCCCACGTCGCCGAGGGGCGGGGCCAATGGAGGCCAGCGTCCAACTAGAGATGGAGGCAGGGAGGGACGGGGCGGGGCTGACCGAGAGATTGTCGAATGTCTGCTTGGGGGGCGGAGCCGGGGGGGGAAGCTGACGGAGGGGAGGAGCTAGCGCGCGTGCGTGAAGTCCCGCCGCCGAGCGCGTCCGAGTTTACTGAGTGGGTTAGTGTGCGGGGACTGGAGCTCCGGAAATGAAGTGTATCTTGCTTGTCAAAGTCGTCGCGGGGAACTGTGTAGTTGTCCTTCGGCTTGCGTGTGACCCAATTTTATAAAAGATCACGCAGTCCCTGACAGACTGAGCTCCAGTGGAGTGCCCAACACTGTGCCAGCCCCTGTTTTGGTTCACCAGCGCCCCTGTCTGTCCCAGAGTTCGAGTGCGTCTGGCTTGTGGCGGCGCGCGGTGGAGAGACAGGCAGGGGGTCTGTTTTGTATTCTAACTGTGTGGCCGTCGTGGGCAAGGGCTCTGCCTGTGACTCAGTTGTGTGTGTTTGCCTTGCCAGCGCCTCGCTGAACAAACAGTGGTTGGGTTGGGCAATGCCGAGTGTTTGCAATGGAGCGTGGGCGGGTGCTAAAGTGCGAAGGGGAAGGGGACCCGCACCTTCCACCACCGCCACCCGCATGGCAGGAGGAGCTGCGGACGGAGAGCCCCGAGGAAGAGGCGGCGAGGCACGGCGGGGGCGGGAGGGGGTGTAGTGGGGTCCGGAGACCTACTCCGGTACAGCTGCTTCTTCGTATGGCAGCTCTTGCCCATTACCTCTGCTCTAGACGTAGTCCCGGGCCCCGCCCCTCCCTCGCCGTTTGGCGGGGAGTTGGTGGAAGGGAGGCCGGAGACGTGCAGACGTCCAAGGCCTGTCTCTCGCCCACCTGCTGCTGCTGGCGGAGAGGGACAGTCATCTCGGCCTCCCCGCGCCCCGGACGAGGGCATCTCTCCGTCTCTCCCAGGGACCTTCATTCCAGGTCTCCCAACTCGCTCTCCGGCTCCCTGGCTTGGGAGAGAAGCCAGGGGCGGGTCGGCGACGGTCCGCTTGGGACCCCAGCCTCTTGCGGAACAAGAAATCCGCTAACTCCGCGGTTTACTGCGGCAAGCACAGAGCAGAGCGTTCGCCGGCGCCCAGTCCCCCGCCTTGCTGCCTTTGTGCTTCGGAGCGACCGGACCCGCCACCAGGGCCCGCCTTGTGTCGGAACCGCCACTCCACCCCGACTTAGCAGGGAAGGAAAGTTGGAAGAGATCGGCGCGCCTGGGATGTGATTGTCATCCTGGGGCCGGCGCTCGAGAGTCTGAGAAAGAGAGAGAGAGGCAGAGAGACCCGGGAGAGGGGGTGGGTAGGGGGGAGAAAAAGAGGAGGGTGGAGAGGAGGGCCGCGGAGGAGAGGCGGGCGCGAGGGAGGGGCGAGGGGAGCGCCAGCGAGCGGGAGAGGGAGCCGCGGAGGAAGAGGGAGAGGGCGAGGCGCGCCTGGCGGCCGGGTTGGCTGCGGCCGCCCAGAGGTTCCTGCCAGTCCTCCCACCGACTACACCCCGGGAAGGAGGAGCTTCAGGCGCGCACAAGGCGTCAGAATCCTCAATTTCCAACTTAGCATCTTGGCAGGACCTTTGCGAAGCCAAAAGCAGAACCCCCCAGTGCAAAGAGCGAGGGGGGAAAAAGAGAAAGCAGCAAGGGAGGGGGGGGGGAACCCAGCCGGGGCAAGCAAGGCGCGCAGAGGAGAGGGCTCGGCAGTCGCAGCCGGAGGCGCGCGGGAAGCCAGCGAGGAGGCGCCGCGGGCCGGAGCCCGGGAGCCGGGGCCCGAGAAGCGGCAGCCGGGGGCAGCCGGAGGCCAGGTGCCCGCCCGCTCGCCCTCGCAGGGCGCCGCCCGGCTCGTTGGCGGCCGCGGCGCGGCGCGCCCCATGCCCGTGTGTGGCCATGTCCTACCCGCAGGGCTACTTGTACCAGCCGTCCGCCTCGCTGGCGCTCTACTCGTGCCCGGCGTACAGCACCAGCGTCATCTCGGGGCCCCGCACGGATGAGCTCGGCCGCTCGTCGTCGGGCTCCGCGTTCTCGCCCTACGCCGGCTCCACCGCCTTCACGGCGCCCTCGCCGGGCTACAACTCGCACCTCCAGTACGGTGCCGACCCCGCGGCAGCCGCCGCCGCCGCCTTCTCTTCGTACGTGGTGAGTGAGCGGGAGCCGCGGCGGGCAAGGGCAGCTGGGGCCGCGCGGGACGGGCGGGGGCTGCGGAGGACACGGGCCTTGGCGCCACCGCGGACCGCCCCCGCCAAGCTTCGCGGCCCCTGCAAACTTGGGCGACTGTCTCGCTCGGCTTCGCCCGGGCCTCGGGCTCCGGAGTTGCTCGGAGAGCAGAGCCGCGTCCTGCTTGGGTCGCTGAGCTGGCGGAGAGGGTTTTTTGGGGAGAGGTCGCTGCAATTAAAGAGCAGCATTTGGTTCAAATGTGAGCTCCAGGCCGCCCTGCAAATTTTACTTTATTTTATTTTATTGGTTTTGCCATTCTGGAAAAGTAGTTCAAAAGAAATGGACCAGAAATCTGAGCAGAAGCGTACTAAGTCTATGTAAATGTGTTTGGCCTCGCCTTTAATTAGTCCTCCAAAATGTTGCAAATCCGTAATCCTATCTTCGCAATCCGATTTGGAGGTATTAAATTTCTGAAAAGTCGGCCGAGCTGCGGTGCATCCGGGATTTTTCGGCCGGGTGCACTTTCTGGAAAAGCGCCGTGGCTTCGGTTTGGGGTAACATTTTTGGAGGGGTGGGAGTGCCCGGACAAGGCTTAGCTTTTCCTTTGCCTTTCTCTGTGGGGGGAAAAAATGCCTTGACTTCCCTTGCTCTCTCCCCTTGCGCCTAACGTGCGGCCACCCGGGCACGAAGTGCCGAGTCGCCGCCGCTGCCCAGGCCTCTGTCTAGGTGGAGGGCCTGGCGGAGGTGGCCGGATGTGCGCATGGGGGGCGGCCTTGCCCCGGCAGACGGGGGCCCACAGGGTGCCGCTGAGGCCAGGACGGCTTCAAGCGTCCCGAAAGGACGGGAGGCAGGAGTTGGAGCCCCCGCTGCCTGCCGAGGAGGAGGTGGAGGAGGAGGAGTTGCCCCTGGGTCTGAGCCCGCCAGCCCTACCCCAGGGGAAGTCAGAGTTTGGGCCTCGCAGCTCGCGGACCCCTGGGCGCAGGGAAAGTGTG